GACAACTGGTCTCTGGAATCGAGTTTCAAAACCGAAGAGACAGGCTAGGACCAGGCCGGCGCCTACAAGTATAGCGAAAACCCAGTAGTACCATCGCCAGCCAAGAGCTGCAGCTTCATAACTGCTGGTCAAGCCCATCGTGCTGCTGAGGACATTCTGGACGGTCCAGTATAAGCCAAAGACACGCCCGCGCTCATGGAGGAAGGTAACTTCAGTAAGCATCAGCGGCAGCAGAGATTCAGAAGCACCGGTGGCGAGGCCTTGCATGACACGGCTTGCTAGATGGCCATCATAGCTGTTTTGGGCCGCTGAGCCTATCGTCGCGGCGAGAAGGACAACAGTCGAGATCAAGAAGACTGGACGTCGGCCATATGCTAATGCTACTGGGAGGATGATAAAATTGCCTGCTGAATGTTAATACATAACAATAAATTCTTTTCGTATAAGTTGATGTTAGCTTACCGAGACCAACACAAAGAGATGGCAGAGTAAGGAGAAATGCAATTTCAGACGGCCCATATCCCTGTGGACCGTAGAGTTGGAAGAAGATTCCCAAGATTGGTCCCAGGCCACCAATCAATGCCAGTCCCATGATAGCTATTGGAAACGTTAATCCAGGCCTTGAGATATCTAGGAATTCGTTTCGCTCTACTTACAGAACCAGCAACAGGTCACAATAACACCCCATTTCTTCCAGGACTTCCAGTTGAGCGGGTCATTGGGATTGTTGGAAGGAATCGGAAGCCGTCTAACATTCCCATGGGCATCTACGAGAAGGGCATTCCCTTCTACATGTCCTGATGATGCATTTGGACTTTTATCTGGTTCCTCGGTGTGCTCCGCGTATTCGTTTTTACCAGCCATAGCGTTCCCCGGCAGTTGGTTTACATAAAGACTTGGGAGTATGGGGGAGCCGCGTCTGGAGTGAAATCTCTAGGTAGCTTGGATAGTTGACAGGACATGGGACCTGGAAGATTCATAGTATATATGTGAGGCTGATGTAGGAGAAGCGGGGGAGAAAGTGGACAACCCGATGCTAGAATGCGGGGAAGCTCATTTCCACTTAACGAGATGTCATCAAGAACGAAAGGCTGGATCCGAAAATGACGGTTAATTTTTATTCGTATGGCTCACGAATCAATGAATATAACGGATCCGAACCGAATAACGGGCCGGGAAAGTGGAGCCGACAAAACAACCGAACAGCTTAAACTCTGAAAAACGCGGGGTATGATGATCTATGGTGGTTGTCAACAGATGTTCTGCATAATCCGGGGTCACTTTAAACGGTTTAATGTCAGTTCGGTTTGTAATGCTCTGATATCTGTCTGATCTGGTCTCGGCTCGGGAACGAGTAAAGCGCCTGATAGCGTAAGGGACAGATAGCTATATAATTCAAGGTCATGACATTTGATGGTGGCAATGATAGATAAACACAATCTTCACAACAGCCTTCTTTTGGAAATACTGCGAATATTCCCAGAAGGTTACAAATGGCTTCGCAAGACTCCAGTTCCACCCTCGAGGCGAGACTCGCTGCCGTGGAGAAGCTAGCACAGCGAGTAAGAGACGCAGGAGCACTCTTCAAAACCAATAATTAATCTTGCTAGGCCTACGATCGAGGAGAGGTAGAGAACGTATTCAGCAAGTATATGCATCTTCACAATGTGTTCCAGGATGAACAGATCAAGGCTCTATGGGTGAAGCGCGGTACCCCTGGAGTCCACGCGCAATACACCAACGTCGGAGTGTACACAGACTACGACAGCATCATGGCCTACCATAGCGGTCGACCCTCACCTCCCGGAAAATTGATCCTACACGAAACCACCACCCCATTGATCGAAGTTGCAGGTGACGGCGAAACTGCAAAGGGCTTTTGGTTAATGGCTGGAGTTGAAAGTGGCTTAGCTGACCCCAAGAACGTGGGGACCATGCCGGAGTTTCTCTATGAGCCTGAAGATAAGAACGTCGACGGGAAACGAGTCTGGACTCACTGGGTTTGGTGCCACTATGCTCTGGACTTTCTTAAGCAGGATGGACAGTGGAAGATCTGGCACTTCCGGTGTCTTGAAGTGACTCGCGCACCCTTTAGTGAGAATTGGATCACGTTTGCCAAGAAGAACCAGTTGGCGTTTGACAAGGTAAAGAACTTGCTTTTTGTTGAACTGTACTTCACGGTATCTGACAGTACAACAGGACCTTGCGTACTTCGGCAATGATGGCAAGGCTGTCTTCATGCCGACGCCAGATGCCAAGCCAGAAAAGGTCAGTTATGCGAATCTCGATTAGGTATGTCCGTGACTAATGATTCTTTCGTGATATCAGAAGGCAGATGTGTATGGCCCAAATCGAGCGCGACAATTGGATGTGCCACTCCCGTCAGCTTATGAAACGTTTTCTGAGACTCACGAATATTAATGTCAGTGCTTTTGTTACGTATACAGACAGTCCTTATTAACAGCCACCTTTCTCTACTTTGAAGCTTGTGAAGTCACTGCGGTATAAATACGCCCATATTTAGTATAAGGGATTTGTCATGTCTACCCCTTCCCCAATGATTAAATGTCTAGGCATAGATATAATAGGAACAGCTACAGACTGGATGCAGGTCTCACTCTCGCGTACTGTCTCGGGGTAAGCTGGGCGCAGGTTGATACGACATGCCTAATACGGTTAGATAAGGGAACAAGCAGTCTAGTCTAGCCTTGTAAGCACTGGAGGAATGAATCATGCCTTCAAGCGGAGCCAATAGATAGCCTTGGAGCTATCTCTTCAGCGCGCCGATCTTTCGGCGCCCGACCAAAGCCAGGCAAATTTTCAAGCCACCAGGATTGCACCGTTGAAATACTGAAACCTAGACAGCCCCATCTTCCCAGCTCTCAAACTTTCTCCGCTCACCGCTGAGCTGGGCCACTGCAGCTTTCACCACCGCCCAAATGCCACTCAATCAATCGCACGAGCGACCGAGATGTTCTCTGACTCTCAGCTAGAACGGCTGGCGCTGCTGGAGAGGGTCTTTTCGTCAATCAGCCTCGTGGCTGTATCGCTGATCTTCGTGACGTACGGGAGCATACCGAGGCTGCGCAATCCAAGAAATACGTTTATCGTGTTTGCAAGCATCGCGAATCTGGGCGCTAGCATTGGCACGGTTATTGCGCGCGATGGATTGGCTCGTGGTGAGGACTCGGCGCTTTGCAGGGCGCAAAGCTTCTTGGTACACATGCAAGTAATATCCGTGTCTCAGTAGCCACTCCGAGTACATCCTAACCTTAAATGCAGATTCATGCAGTCTGACGCGTGGTGGTCTCTCGGCATGTCGGTGAACACCTTCAGGATTGTCTTCTTCCAGTCGAATCCACACACATTTAATAAGTGGCTGTATTCTTTGATATGCTTTGGAGGGCCCTTCATCTCGGGTTTTACCCTTTTCTTCATCTCCACTCCGGCGCGTGGTCCTGTCTATGGAGCAACAACTGTAAGTCACAAATCAGTACAGGCTTCAACGATAAACTGACGTCTCGTCAGACCTGGTGTTGGATCCGAGAATCTTGGGTCAGCATACGACTCTTTACCTCATATCTCTTTGTATGGATCTGCATTGCCACGTCAATCGTTTTAAACACAGCGGTTGGCTTTCGTCTTTTTCGAGCGAGAAACAAAGCTCGAGGTATTTTGAACTCGCGCATTCAAACCACAGTAACCGATCACCAAACTGTATAGCAACTTTCCTTCAAGTGGTAATACAGCTTAGCTGACCAACAACAGGTAACAGAAACAAATACCGACACTGATGTCCAAGGATCCGAAGATGCACCCGTTACTGCCGTACGTGATACTCAGAAATCAACTCCCAATGCCACGACTGTGGACCCAATTCCTCCCAACCAAAAGCAACAATCCTCATCATCGAACCCCAGCAGCACCAAGTCCAAATTTTGGCTCAAAGACCCCATCAAACGGGCGTATCTATTCACAACCTTCATGTTTACACTCAGCGTCCTTGTGACGTGGGTCCCTGCGAGCATCACACGTATCCATAGTCTACTTAACCGTGATGTTCCATACTCATACCAAGTTGCCATAGCCGCCGTTATGCCCTTGCAAGGTCTCTGGAACGCTTTGATCTTTTTTACGACTAGCCGGGGCGTTATAAGGGATTCAATGCGGAATAAATGTGGTCGTTGGGTCTTTAAGCCTATAAAGAAAAATCAAGAGATAGTGAGAAGGGATGTTGCTGCAAGAGTAAGGGTCAGTGAGCATACTGACAGCACGGACTCAGGCAGTGATGTTGAGCTCCATCGCCTGGGGAGGTGATTATCATAATAAGTAAAAAGCTTATGCAACGGAAAAGGTCTCAATTCTTAATCTACCTGAGGAAGCAAGCTCTCTCGGTTAAGTCACATAATTCCTGTAATTACCAGCTACAGTGATTATATCGCGCACATCATTCACTCTAGAAGACTGCTCCAACATGTGGGCTTTTCTGCAGACCTATCATCGATTGGCCGCCTCGACGATGATGACATGATACGGATCTTTCCCAGCTATTGCCAATGACGACCTGGCCATGGCGCTAAAGGACACGTGCTCTTGACAGAGTTGTTCTTCTCGAAGATAGTGAAGTTTATAAATGCAAGTTTGCCACTGTTTCCAGGAATCTCCTGACAAAACGTATAGAGATAGGACCTTAGAGCAGAGGGAAGGTTGGCCAGGAGCGCAGAGACCTGGAAAACCCCCTGCACGCTTCGCAAGTACTGCTTGGTGTTGATTGGAAAATCGACATTGAGGCTCTTGCTATAGTGCCTTACGGCGCGGCGGACTCTTGGGCCCGTGAGAGCCCAGGCTCGATGATTGCAAAGTAAGACAACACTCGCTTCCCACAGCCAGATACACCCGCTCACAAAGTCAGCTATGTCGAGGAGGCTATCAAGGAACTCGAAAGAAACCCCAAGTACCACGATGAAATCAACAAGCTGGCCTCAGCTCATGTTCTCACCATGGACGTGGATGAGGAAGAAACGTTTGTTGCATGCGGAGCCAAGTTCACAAGCGATGGGAAGCTTGCTATAGTGTTCGGCGCCAACAGACTCGGTTCCAACACTGGCGACGCTTTCTGGCATAAGAACCTGGAGAAGGGTATTAGTCTGGCCCCTACTACGGACACACTGAGCTTCTATGCCCGCAAAGGCATCCGTGAGGACTACGAGCCAGACATTGCCGACGTACAGTCTGAGCTGAAGGATATCCTCCACAGGGACATTACTTTACACCCCCACTTCGAGGAGGTTTATGAGAAACTGAAGCAGACCAAGGACGGAACCGACTTTCATCAATACCTCGGTGCATTTATACTCAACTACTTCCGTGGCCTGGTCAGTACGTTGAAGTGGCGTAAATTCGACAGCGATGACATGCTGCAAGAGGCGTTGAATGAGGCTATGGAGAAGGGAGAAGTTCATTTTCGCATCCTTGATACAGTTGAGGGAAGCAGTGGAGAGGCAGCCATTGAAGATGGAATACTCTACTTGCAGGTGAGTTGACTTTGTCTATCAACGTCATGAATACATACTAATACCCGGCAGACATCCCCCGATAAGTGGGGATCAAACATTGACGACATCTCCAACAACATCATGGACCTACTTTAAGACATTTTAGAAAACAGGTTTCGGGCTCCTTATCTGGATCTGGGAACGGTTGTTGGGTAACTTCTAGTCTTGAAGGATGATGTAGATTCAGTGGCGAACCAGCCTGAATAGATGACAATACATTTTGATCTATTTGCAAAGATATGGGCTCCATCGGAAAATCCGGGCCAATTGTGATACTGTAATTGTGTATTAATAGATATCGTTGAAGACTTTTTTCTCTGCCTGTTTAATGAAATATCACTAGCCGTGAACTATTGCTGAGACTATTGGCGTTGGTCCCGGTCTGGTTTGTGAAAACGGCAAATTGTGGGTACCTCCTGATATTAGTCGATCTGACCGTTAAACTTGCCTCTAGTCTTTGGAGATGGCGATTCAGCTCATTTCGGATTTTCCGGAGTCGCTAATCGTCGATTGAGATCTCAATCTGTAAGGCCGTATCTATAAGAATGTCTCAGTTCAGCTTGATGATGTTTCGCTTCAATCCCAATCACTCAGGTCTTGATACTTCTTATCGCCATGCACATTTCTTCTCTTTTCTCTACAGCTTTGCTGTTTTCAACAGCTGTCGCGGCGCCACAGCCTGACTACTCTACAACGAGTGCGGCCAATCATGGCAAGGTTGCCAAGTATCAGAAGCAGTGTCCCTTCAGTATTCCTCATGTCAAACCCCACAGCCAACGATATGAGCACACGATAAACTTCCCCAAGGGATGCGAAAGTGGCAAGTTCATCAATTGGAAGACATACAAGGCCAATGGCGTCAATCTGGGTGCTTGGCTCGCAAAGGAAAAGACCCATGACCCCATCTGGTGGAATTCACTTGGCACCAAGGCCGCAGCTAGTATCGACGAATGGGGCTTGTGCCAGGCTCTTGGCAAACAATGTGGCCCAATCTTGGAGAAGCGCTACGAATCTTTTCTGAATACTTCTACCATCGATACGCTTGCCAAGGTCGGGGTCAATACCCTTCGCATCACTACCACTTACGCCGCTTGGGTCAAGGTTCCTGGATCCGCTTTCTATCACGGCAAGCAGCAGGAACATCTGCGAAAGATCACTCAATATGCCATTGAACGGTACAACATGCACATCATTATTGGACTTCACTCTCTACCCGGTGGTATCAACAACCTCGATATTGGCGAAGCTTTTGGGCATGATGGCTGGTTTTACAATTCTACCAATCTGGCTTGGAGCTACAAGGCTGTTGACAAGGTTCTGGACTTTGTTAAAGCCAGCGGCCACAAGAATGCCTTTACGATCGCCCCTCTTAACGAAGCCAGCGATAACCTGGCAGGCTTTGGCTCAGCAGCTGGTCTATCGGACAAAGCTACCAACTGGATTCTCACGTACATGAACGGTGTTTTCCAGCGTGTCGAAGCTGTAGACAAGCGTATCCCAGTCATGCTCCAAGATAACTTCAAAGGCGCGGCTTTCTGGTCTCCACTGTTCGACAAGAAGCGCAATCTCGTCATCGACTCACACGTCTACTACTTTGCCGCATCGGGTACCTATTCACAGTATGTCGCACCTGCTGTGTGCGGGCAAGCAAAGTACCTTGCCGAGGAGACCAAGTTTCCCGTGTTTGTTGGTGAATGGTCGCTGCAGACCATGTACAACAACACGTTGTCTGTGCCCAACCGCAAGACGATCTTCGATACTCAGCGATATGCGTGGCAGAAGTATGTCGCTGGTGGTGCTTTTTGGACCGCTGTGTCTTACTCCAATACGCCCGTGGATGGACAAGGTATCCAGAGGGACTACTGGAGTTATGTTGACTTGATCAGGGCTGGAGTTATTACTAAAGCTACGACTAAGAGCTATTGCTAAAGGGTTTTCATATGAATTGGTCGGAATTCTGGTTCTTTATTTACACATAACCTTCCTGTAAATACTTTATTTTTTATCGTACGTTTATATCATTCTTTCTACAATATCAATTTATAGTTCTATCCCTGTGATCTGGCATGTGTATATATCAAGCTGCCTGGGCACGAATCAACTGTCCGAGCCTTTAAACTCTTCATTCAAGTTCGCGCTGTCTCCCTGGCTATTCTCAGTTGAGCTGCCTTGACATGTTCGTGTCTACGTGCTCCTATTGCTTTCTACCAGAACACACCAAGCGCTAGCTCAATTATTGTCCACCATTCAAGAAATGGATTTCTCCACCTGTTATCCTTGGGCCAGTTGGTTATTTGGGGCTGAAGATTAAAAGCTCGGGTATGACGGTTCTTAGACTGTTTCATCTAAATCGAGCGCTCGGTAATGAACGGAGATAATAACTGTGGGGATTGTCTTGAGAATTACGTGATGTGGAAAAGGGTTACATGGCGTTATCTGCAGGTTATCAACTCTCCAGTGGTGGAAATATTAGCCCATTGTCTTATGACCACGGGAAGTGGGATTTGTCGGATATGTGTGCCGTTGCAACTAGCATGAAGACTTATCCGATACTCAATCTCGAGGTAATTGAGAATTCGAACGTGTCTGGACGAGTTGGACTTGAGAAACAGTTAATTGTTGCTGGAATATGCACTAAAACATCAAGATCTAGTCAGCTGAGAAAGAGACCGGCTTTGCTAAATAGTAAACAAACTATTGAACTTTAGATAAAGCTGTATTAAAGTCTAGATGCGATGACCTTTTCCTTAGTTCCTTTGACAGGTTAAGTGGTCCCTGACTGGCTCGGAGATGCCTAACTAATTACGCACCAATAACCGAATGCACTAGCTCAACAACTCCAACCTAACATTGTAAGCTTGTCACTTAGCTCACTCCTGAACAATCTGCCCTGTATCTAACGGATCGAAATGTTCGAGAATGGAAATGCGGAGCTGGCATCTTCCGGTCTAGCCTTGCTTGAAGTATCATACCGAAGCTAGTAGTGGATGGTCTAAACCACCATCATGGAACTATCTACATGCCAACAGGTTTAGTGGTTCTAGTCCGGTAGTGCTTGTAAGCCACATGCCGTGATCCGCCATCCATGTCAAGTAGTATATATAAGCGCGAGTGAATGTCCAAAGCAATAAAAATATTTAGTTCTGATTTCTCAACCACTTTACCATTTCATTCATATCACACAATGAGACTTGAAGTACTTTTCGCACCCGCATTTGCGGCTTTTGTTCGAGCTGCTGGTGTCACTGGCGCCGCTGAAGGCTTTGCCAAAGGTGTCACAGGTGGTGGCTCAGCCGCTGCTGTTACTCCCACGACAACCGCCCAGCTCGTGTCCTATCTCGGCGACTCTTCTGCCCGAGTTATCATTCTGGATCGAACCTTTGACTTCACTGGAACTGAGGGCACGACCAGCGCGACTGGCTGTGCCCCCTATGGCACTGCTTCAGCTTGTCAGCTTGCCATCAACAAGGATAACTGGTGCACCAATTACCAGCCTAACGCGCCCAAGGTTAGTGTCTATTTACCTCTCTGTTGTATCTGAAGCCCTTTTAACCTCTCAATCCTATCACAGGTCAGTGTCAAGTATGACAATGCTGCATTGAACCCTATTCTCGTGGGATCGAACAAGAGTCTCGTCGGTGTAGGAAGCAAGGGTATCATCAAGGGCAAGGGCCTATATATTGCAAAGGGTGCCAAGAATGTCATTATCCAGAACATTCAGATCACCAACCTTAACCCTCAGTACGTCTGGGGAGGTGATGCCATTGCCCTTGATAACACCGATCTTGTTTGGATTGATCATGTTACTACGTCGCTTATTGGCCGACAACACATTGTTCTTGGCAACAACCCAAGTAACCGAGTGACTATCTCGAACCACAAGCTCGACGGTGCTACGTCTTGGTCAGCCACATGCAACGGCTACCACTATTGGGGCTTTTACTTTACAGGATCTGCTGATGTACGCCCTGTTCCCATGTCTTGTTCAACAAGATAATTCCCTTTAACCTTTTTGACAATTTACTTACTTGAATAGACCGTTACTTTCAAGAACAACTACATTTACAAGACCTCTGGCCGTGCCCCCAAGGTCGGCGGAAACACCCTTCTCCACGCTGTCAACAACTACTGGTACGATAACGCCGGACACGCCTTCGAAATCGGTGCTGGCGGCCAGGTCGTTGCTGAGGGCAACATCTTCCAGAACGTTGCTACACCACTTGAGGCATCAAGCTTCGCTGGTAAGCTCTTCTCAAGCCCCAGCACCTCCGCCAATGCCGTCTGCTCCTCCTACCTCGGCCATGTATGCCAAGTCAACGGCTTCGGAAGTTCTGGCACTCTCTCAGGCAGCGACACCGATTTCCTGGTCAACTTCAGTGGTAAGAATGTTGCCTCTGCTGCCGCTTATTCCAGTATCACCGGTCTCTCGTCGAGCGCTGGCTTTGGTACCATTTAGACTTTTGGAAGTTAGGAAGGCTGGGGATTGAAGTGAGGCTTTTAAGAGCCCGAGAATAGTTTAGCATGTACATAGTGCTCAATTAAATGTCAGTTGGTTGCTGTAGTTTACTGCGGTTGATCGGTTTCTACCAAATCAGAGCGAGACAATACAGTATGGTATTTTAATCTTGAAACAGTCAAAGGTCCTGTTCTCTTGTGCAGATGCAAACTTCTGTCATACAAATCCTATTCTTAGTCATAAACCTACATCCCCGATATCGCAAGTGTGGTCATAACTCCCATTGTTAGCAGGAGCATGGCACAACTGCGTTTATTCAACCTGTTTGCTGAATTCTCTTTAGTATCATCGTCTCCACCAGCTTTGGTGAAATCCGCTTCCTGATGAATAAGTGCCACTGCTGGAACTCTTGATACAATAGGGCTACCTCCCTTCATTTCCCCTGTCTGCATATCTCGTGTAAATGTAGACAGAGGAATAGGTCCTGTGTATTTCCTGACCTCATGGCCACTTATGGTGCTTGTCAATGGTACCACGGTTTCCGGGAAAGCGAACCCGCAGATCTTCGAATATCCATATGAAGACACGTCACCAAGTACCGAGTAGCAATTTCCACTAAAGTCGAGTTTGTAGTCGCTGAGTTGATTAGCAAAACGCCAGCCTCGAAAGATATTGGAAAGCTAACCTTGGGCAACAAACGGCTAGTGTCTCCGAGGGTTCCAATACCTCATTCCAGACACTTGACGGATTTGCAGGGAATGGCCGACCTAGCTCCCATTTCTTAATCACGGGTTCTGATTCCGTCATGGTAAGAGCCCCGGATATCTGCGCAGCGCTACCCGTCCCTTGCACGTATTTCCCCACGGTTGTCCAGTTGGAGGGGCAGTATAGACCTGGTGAGTAGTAATGGTAAAACCCAATATCAAAGGTCTTTGAAAATGATGCCGTGATAAGGTGATCATACTGATCTCCGGATGGTATGCATTTCCCATACAGCTGCATTGTGCAGGTAGGGTTAGCCCAGTGATATTCAGGTTTGTCGCTCTCCGCACCAAAGTAAAGGTGATTTGTTTCAGTGGCGCATGATGCTGGTGCCGTATGGGTTGTTGTTAGCGGCCCAAAGTTAGTTATCCAAGCCTGAGAGATATAGGTTGCGGTAGGCATCTTGTTGACAGATTCGAAAGATTTCTAAGTAGAAATGCTTACAATATAGCGAAGCAAGTTAGGTATTCCTAACAATAGCATTAGATGCTCAAATACTGGCACAATGGCAAGTTAAGTATTTGGGTCTCCAAGGACACTGGAACTTGGAACGCAATGTGGCGCATTACCTACTGCTGAATGTGGCCGACTGGTTATCTTTTTGGGGGCCAAACAGCACTCGGCATCAAAAGGACTACTGATACCTGCTGTATTCGGTCTAGGTTGGTGTGGCACAGTCGAGAATAGCAAGCTGCGCCGCTGGAATCAGGTTTTAAAGCCGAGAATGTCATTCATGTGATCTAACCATTGCTCTGTGCTGTGTTTAAACAAGGATTAAGCTTAAACAGCTGGCAGTGGTTGGTTCGGTGGCTGATGCAAGTCAATCAATCAACGCTCTTAAGCTCAAGAGGTTGGTCGTCAGGCAAGTTATTTTGCGGACAACCGCTGACGTTGTCTTTATCCTTACTTGAAGTTTCCATCTAACGTAGGTATCTCCTGCCTCTCCTCCAGCCTATCGCGTATTCTAATCAGTATTCCATATAAGATCAAATGCCTGCGTGGGTAATGGGAGCTTGGGTCAGGTCAGTGAGATACTTACCAGACACATTACTAAAGCCGCATTTAAAATGTATTATCAGACCACCAAGAGGATTGATATCAAAAGAGAAGTTTTTATTGGCCGGTTGAGTATATCGCACGTACGGCCGTCTGGCCAGGCTTCAGGTTAAATCTTCCAGACACCCGGAAAAACTCCTCGCCTGATGACCATGGTAACCGTTTTGCAACCGTTTTGCTTGCATTGGGGGTGAGGAATTTGATAGGTGCTACTGAAGTGATAAAGCTATTGCATAACCCGGTTATGCGTGGTTGGTACGTTGCTTTAGTGTGCTCTTGAGAGCACCATTCTGGGTTGAGAGACTCAACGGCTCATGCTTATATCACCCGCCTTACCTCGCTATAGTTATTGATATGACATCACTTTTACAAGGAACATCCCATTAAAGGTAAGAAATTTTTAAAACGAGGTGTCTGTCAGTTCTTCATGAATTCCCTATGTCATATCATTTCATAGACTTTCTGGTAACACCATAACCATTTCGGATTACATCCCAGAAGTGCCTACACCTAAACTGCTCATCCTCAGGGGGCAGAAGTCCTCTACACTTGGAGCATTGTGCTCCGTTGTGGACATGACTTGATGGACGTGCGTCCTAAGATGGAGTGTCCTTGTCCGTAATTAGTCACCCCTATGCGACACAACCACTTCCATTCCCGCGCACTTCAATGTTAGTCGTCTCGGACAGTTGGAATTTGTTCGTTTTTTATAGGGGGAGCGAATCGCTTTTGTTTCTATCCGCGCACCGAGCTATTCCCGTTCGCCTATTCTGGTCCACTCCGAAACAACAAGTCATGGTAGTCTAGTTTGTTTCGGATATTATCTCCACCAACCATCGAACGTGCATTGATCAACGAATTGGGCGTCGATCTTCGGGCATTTGTCCGCCAATTACAATAGACATTTGTTTTGCTATTTAATGTTTTGCGTTGACATATAAAGATGTCGAGATGCCAAGTAAACTAGTCACCGATTGATCTAATCAGCCAAATATCAAACTCTCAACATGCCTTCTTCCAACCAGATCCTTTCCGTGCTCGCGGCCATCGCCGTCGCCACTGCCAACGCCGCTATGGGCCCTGCCTTTAGCACTGGTCCCGTTGGCTCTGGCTCCTGGATCCGCGAGGCCACTTCAACTCTTGTCCTTCCCGACGTTCCCCAGGGTTCTACTGGTGTTGCCTCTCTTTGGGTTGGAATGGGCACCGATAAGGGTGACTTGATCCAGTCGATTGCAGATAACTGGCAGTCCGACGAGTGGAGTATCTTCGCTTACACTCTCACCAAGACTGGAGATAACTCTCAACTGCCCGTTCAGGACGAGCACCAGACTCCCGCCAAGAAGGGTGATCGTGTTACCATGCACTGTAAGAAGCACTTGACGCCGAACTATAAGGGCTGAACTGACCGCCTGCCATAGACAAGTATGATGCTTCCACTCAGGAGTACGTCCAGTATGTCTCCATCAACGGCAAGCAAGTCTCTACTCTCTCCACCTCCAAGGGCCACGAAGCCATGGGCTTTGGCAGCTCTGTGGAGTGCGGCGCCTCGGACTGTGGAACCATTGGTGCTCACCGTAAGTCGTAAAAAGTAACCCAATTATGACTTCATACTAACAGAACACTTCAGAGTGGATTGACACCAAGATCATCCTTGATACTGCCGACCCCAACTACATCCAGACCTTTGGAAAGGGCGAGGGCGTTACTGGCGGCGAGATGACTACTAGCGACGGTGGCAAGACCTGGGTTATTAGTGATGTTAACATCCCATCGTATACATTTTAAGTGTCTTAGTATTATATGTGATCTATAAATACCTCTTAACAGTTACCATATCCCGTATATGTGACAAAGCATCTTAGCGCCAGTAATTCATAATAGCTTCATCTATGCAAGAATCAGCGCTGGTTTCTGAGAAAAAGTGGAATAATTGGCGAGTAGTCGTTATGTAAGTATGCATGGCTTCTTCTTCCAATAGAACAATTGGTTGGTGCATTTCCTGCAAAATCAGCCGCACAAGGCTGGCGCTTACGCAACACGACCAGAGCAAAGAAATCACTCCGCTTCTTTGCTAGATCTTGAAATGGTGTGTGATAGTATTCAAAACTTCATTTAGCCCTTTGATTCCTCAACCTGCATAATGGTACGGCCCTTTCCTGAGAGGATGCTCTATCGCTGACATGTTAGCATATAGCCACTCCACCAGCTGCATCCGGACCCGAAGTCAGCTTCGGGTTATGCCTCTCCGAGGATAGAGTAAGTAATGAGCCGGGCAGTATTGATCACACTAACTCTGCCAGCATCATCGCCGTCCATGGCCTTGGTCCGCCAGCGAAAGGTGAGAAGAAACACGCCTTCGACACGTGGAGAACTCAGTCGGGTCAAAAGGGCCGTCTCTGGCTACAGAAAGATCTTCCAGATCATATTTCTGATTGTCGGATCTTCTTATATCAGTACAACACGACTGCGGCATATGGTCGAGGCCTCGACGAATTTCGGAGCAAGGCGGATAATCTCCTCGAAGTCATCAACATTAAGAGGAGAGATTGTCCCGAAAGACCAATTCTGCTACTTGGCCATAGCATGGGGGGCTTATTGATCAAACAAGCCCTGATCAACGCCCATAGCAACCCAGGATACAGTGCCATTAAAGATAATACCACTGGCATAGTCTTTTTTGGAACACCATATGAGCCCAATACTCAGAAACTTGGTGAAATAGGCACGGCAATCGCCAGAGAAGTAGATCATGAGACCCGATCTGGTTTGGTTGAGTCGATGCAGACTGGAAGCATCTTCTCCGAGCTCGAATCATGGAGGCACCAGGCGCTTCAGTATAGTACTGTCTCTTTTTGGGGATCATCCGATTCCGTAGGTTACCTGAGCTCAATCTCATGGTATATGCTTACATGTGCTTATCTCAGATTGTCTGTCGCAAGTCCGTTAGTCCTGAATTGCCTGGAAACGTATGGAAGATTGTCGAGCTAGACGCCAACCACAGAGGGCTCTGCAAGTTTGGCAACTCTGATAAAGACCAGCACAACTTGAAACTCGTGGTTGAGAACATCAAGCGCCTCTACCAATTGGCGATCGAGAAGCCCGAGTCCTATCGTGCTTCTTACCCAGATACGTCTGGTGTTCAGACGCCCCGCACTTCAGAATATAGCCAGGACATACATCATGACATATTGGAGGAGATCCAACGTGTCGCATTGAGTACGGCCAATGAGACAGAGTAAGTTTTGGTATTTGATGTTACAGTTGAACTATTAGCTGAGTAATGAATGTAGGCAGCTGGTAATGACACCGAGTCAAGAGAGCCAACTCCAAGACGACGAACTATGTGTTCAAGACTCTTTGCAAGCTACGTTCGACCACTCTGCTACCAAGGATCTTACTGGATCATCCGTGCAAGAACTTCTCGTCGCGGACACTAAGGTAATAGAGTCACTGGCCCAAGACAAGCTTTATTCCCAAATTCCCTTTGAGTTGCTCGTTGTGTGAGTTACTCCCCACGCCTCCGCCCTTAAAGCCTTCTGACGCCCTGTCCCGCAAGACCTGAGCCTATCTTACAAGGTCTTCGGTATCTCAATTGCCAGATGCCCACCAATGTACAAGAGGCAGTACTTACTGCCCTCGCACTGTATCCTCATCGGAACGTGATCGCCAGTAACCCTCCAGGAACTGGCAGAACCACAGCGCTAGCGATCGCTCTCCTGTCACGCATAGACTACCTTTCGACCACTCAGCCCCAGGCATTAGTAATAGTGCCAACTCCCTCACTGGTACGCCAGACGGAAAAGTGCATCAAAGAGATAGGCAGATTTTGCGAGGGCCTTGTTACAGAAACTATCACTGTGGCGAGCAAGCCAACCGCAAAGGCTGAGGCAAATGTGATTATTGCTACACCTGGTTAGTCTTTTGGACTGTATTCGTCGTCGCCACGTCGAGACGTCTCAGGTGAGGTTCCTTATTATTGATGACGTCGATTATCTTGTGGATTCTCAAGGATTAGGGCAGCAATGCATGACAGTCGCCAGAGCGTCGCCACAAACTATCCAATTTCTACTCTTTTCCGATCAATCAACATCGACCTCGGGGTATATAAATAATATGCTCAAGTCCAATACTTGGGAGAACCACGAGCTGAAGGTGATCGAGCTTGGTACCAACAAGATCGCTCATCTGTTATTCAGATGCAGTGGGGAGCGGGAGAAGCTGGATATCATTTGCAAACTTCCTGGTGTTGTGACGATAAGTATGTTGATCATATTTGTTGAAGTTAGTGGCCTAGCTCTATTTCTCACGACGTAAAATTAACTCAGTGTCTTACAGAGGAGGGCTTCTGCGCAGAACATACATCTTGTACTCACAAATAAAGGCCACGCCGTGACGAACCTGTTCGATGCAACTGACGATGGCGGGATGCAAAGGCTGTTGGAGAAGTTCGTGACTGGGCAGGCCAAGGTTCTCATTACAAAGGACTGCAAGACCCGGGGTGTTAATCTTCCCTCTAGCTCCATGGTCATCAACTACGATGTCCCGGATGCCGACGCTTACCGGTACAATCGTCAGGCTAGTCGTGCTGGCAAAGCTGGGCGCTTTGGGTTCGCAGTGAATCTTGTAAGCATCTTCACTCACTTGCAACCTCTCAGTGCTTCAATCTTCGTGAGCTTAAATCAAACGACTGGGATGCCGTTGAGGATTTCTTGAGAGACTTCTAATGATCCACGATCTTCTACACTCCATACATTCATTGTATTCAGCCGCTTCTGCCACAGTTCGCAGTAATAATTTTATCTGCAGCTTATGAATAACTGAATAACTACTTTCATAACAAATAGTCAATTCTTCAGAGACATCAATTCTCAGCTCTAGCGCGACCCATTTTAGACTGGCCTATCAACGCTGTGTGACCAAGAGCCAAGGTCTAAAATTACTGAGCTATTGATTCAGCCCTGCATCTGTGATTGGCTGCATCGGAAATTTGCTGCCATTGGAGGCGCCAAGTGAATGCACTGCCTCACGTGAATCAGGTCTTGCTGACGCGCGAGGCCTCATAAATTCTGCTTATCTAGATCCTCAAAGCTCATGAAAGCCTGAGTCTCTTGGCAATTCTTCACTCTCGCTTGCAAGTGACTAACCAATTCCGGAGTTATGGGCGGCTCGGACGAAGAGAAGGAGAAGGAGAAAGAGCGCAAGAGGGATATAGTGGGAGACTTTCTGTATGCGTCATTTATTCGTCAGCAGCACCTCGATCTGCTCCGCGATCCTTCCCGCTAGACCCCCCTAGTTCGACCGCTGACGTTTTCTCTTGTAGGAAAAAGAATTTGAATAAAGGCGAAATAGCATTGAAGCATGCAGTGGGTCTCGGCAGCCAGCCCAATGTCGTCCCAGTCACTGAACCTGTTGTCGATGGACCTCGTCGCCCTGTCGAGGTTGGGTGGCATCCTGTCGGCGGATTTGCCGGAAAGTGGTTTGCGGAAGAGACGGGACTGGGCAAGATGATCACGGAGAAGATCAACAAGTATCCTGATCCGACGCAGCATTGGGCTGTTCTCGTTGGTGACTATGCTCATCAACTATGGATGGTGAGTTTGATCATCAGTCGCGCGGGACGAGACGGGAGCTCATGCGAAACAGGATGAGAACTTTGATGTCATTTACACGAATGCAAAGATTGAGCGAGAAGAGTGGCGGACGTTTCCGGTTGGAGAGACGCGCTTCAATGATGATGCCTTAAGGCGAGCTGGTGAGTACAAGCCTCTGGTTGACACCATCCAGGTCTTGGGGGATGACATGCTGATACTGCGACAATAGGCGAATCAGTCATCCACAGTATCAGAGAGAGGCAGCCTACCTACAACCTCATAACCAATAATTGCCAGACGTACGTCCTCCAGCTCCTCGACGCCATTAAGGTTGGTGTGAATAAAGAGTTCGGTACTACCCTGGCTGTTTATGAGAGAGTTTTTGGGCCAGGCAAGATCAAGGATCTCTTCGATGGCGAAGAGAAACCGGAAAATCAGCAACAGCACCAGATTGAGCAGGGAGGAGAACCTGGAGCAGAGGCGGGAACACAAGGGCCGATGCACCCAGGCAGATCGGATACAGTCAATCTGGCACAGGATGTCATGAACCAGAATACCAATCAACTAGACACCGAAAGGGAGATGGAGAGGCACGAGGGCGAGAAAGATGAGAAGGAGACGAAGAAGAAGGGCTTCTTCTCGCGCTTTAAGCGAAGTAATAGTTAGTTTTAGACTTGCCTCAAGCGAGTTGATCGGGTTTTTATATACCATTTTGAAGGATGATTCAACAGTACTTCCTCTTCTTGCCAGGGGAGTTCATATGGATGTCAAATTGGCACGTTCTAGATCTTCTACTCGTCTTAGCATAACATACTCAGCGCCACATGAACCTCTAGCGGGCTTGAAGGGTTTGGGCAGATCAACATCTTTGAACAACATTGCGTACCTTTTGCGTTGTGTTTCATTTTTCTCAACTTATTTAGTTATTTTCTCTTTGGGGCAGGTCATGATTGCATTGATTTTTGTCTATCTCGACGAGCCACGAGGTCGGCAAAGTATATGCTAGTAGAAGGTGGCTAGATGTTAGAATGTCCACCATCGTGACTTGCTAAGTATTTGTCGCTGGCGTAAGATAAGGAAGGGTTCAACCCTTTACCAGCTCCTGATGCGCAACAGCAACTAAATTCCACGGGTATAATACCGCCACTAGACTTCTTACTCCACGAATATTCTTCTAGAAGGCTATCTCCATTCTAGGGGATAGACTACTTTAGGGTTATAAGTCTAATAAACAATGCTTGCAGGGTTGGCGCATCTTCTTTTCTACCCTTGTGCCGTTGTTATTCGACTAAGACATTAAAAATCGGGTCATCAGCCCCCAAGACATCCCATCCACCAATAACCTGATGTCATCCTGTTTATCGTATTCCACTACTTCTCGATCCCGAGAACGCAAGCGAGGAGGTCTTGGCAATTACAGTCTGGACTACACGAGGTGACGTTTCTGCAGATGCGAGGTCACGAAGGATGGCTTTACTGCCGTCGCATCCGCGCTGGCCAATTAGATCTTTATGTTTAATGGCGCATGTTGCTCTGAAATATGTGCGACTGCTGTCAGCTTGAGGTATTTCTCGAGCTGAGCTACTCGTCCTGCCTGAAGCGGATAGCTCTTTGCTCAGTGGCTCGAGTCAGCATGGTTAAGATATCTCCGCCGCCTAGTTACAGTGCAACACCTGAAACATGTATATGCCTGGGCTTGTTATTTCCTATAAAACATCAACGTATGTTCAGCAAAATCAAATCCATTTACTTATCTATCTATATCACATTCAGCCATTTCCCATTAAACAAAGTCTTGCAACATGAGTCAAACCAGTCTTGTCGAATCGAGTTCTTCCGGTGAGGCTCCCCGCAATGCATTGTCACTCCGACTAGAGGCGCCTCTGTTTTCCCAGGCATCCATTTCTCCGACCAAACAATCATTCAGTATCCTAGGCCGCTACGTCTACGAAACAGAAACCAGCCCGGCTACCCCAACTTATCACATCTCCAATCGCAATACTCAAGCCGGTAATCCATGGCAGATACAAATCTGCCGCCTTCTACCCAGTGAAGTTCGTCGTCTTAGTGAGGCTTCAGGAAATGACGCTTTCATCAGATACGATGATGACTTGACACTCTACTCTGGAGAAAAAATGAACATACCTTTCAGCTTCGCCGCTGGTCTTGGTCCCACGCCACTCATTGTTATCAGGGGCCAAAAGAGAGGTACTATCCAGGGAAGCATTGTGATGGAAAAGTCTGGCCGGTCGTGTAAATTCCAGCACATGATTCCTATCAAGCGCGCCTTGACCAAGGTGGAAGAGGATAAGATGCAGGCCCTCATGCATAAGCGTGGATACCGTGACTCTGATGATTGGAAGAAAAAGCTTCTCTTGAGGGTACAGGAGAACTCGGCCAAGTTAGTAGAGTGGGTTGATGAGTATGGAACTGTCGTTGCTGTTGAGAAAGATGATAAGCTGGAGTTTTCGGGAGAGATTCAGACGGAGAAGAAGGATCTCGTTATTGCGTGCTGGGCCTGCAAGGGATTTGTACTCGAACAGACTACATAGATAGTATTCACCGGCCGAACCTATGGGCGGCAGAGGCAATGCTAAACTTATCCTATGCAGTGATCAAGTCCTCAGTGATAAGTCTAATTGCAACCAACAGTCTAGCTCACGACTTCGGTCATGTGAAGTTAGTGCTGTTTGCATCAACCGGAAGGACTGCCTTCAAAAGAGGATACAGATGCCACTTATGGGAACAATATACTGGACATGAATGAGGATCATTGTATACTTGGCAGGGAATGGCGTAAGGCCCAAGGATACTTCCCTTGCCCCTCTGGTCTGCGTTTATACTCCTTCAGGATTTCAACATAAGTCAATATTTCAGTAAGACTGGATATCCAATGAGTTATGCATTATCATCATAACTATGCTATTAAACTAAGAACCCAATTACGAGACGTCATCCATATAGATCTTCCCTCTATACCGTCTGTAACCTAATATGCAAAAACCACCCCATCTATGCGCCGAATCTATTTTACAAATTCCCCAATTACCAAGCAAGGTCCTTGGCTATTTTACCACACGAGAGACCAGAGCAAGAAGAGTATAGGCTCTCATCCTGCTCAGTCTTGGTAGCAGACTTATCCAGAATCTGCTGGGCGGGCCGAATCTCTCGGCCAGCAACACCCTCGAGCTTGCGGTGGTGCTCGACTAGTTGATACACTTGGTTCTGGAACTGGAGAGGGGTCTGGTCAACGAGGACACCGGCGCGGAGGTTCTTCTCGGCGGGGGCTTCTTGCTCGCTGGCTGTTTGCTGGAGAATCTCCTCGACCTTCTTGAAGTCGGATTCGCTGGCGCTCTTGTGGCGATAGACTTCATATTGTAGTTGGGACTTTGTAGCTGATGTAGGGACACATCGCAAGAGGAAGAAGAAGTGAGGACTGGAATGGTTAGTATTTATTCGCTACACCCTGCTTGACAGGGAACTTACGAGATGGTCATGGAAGCGTTGGGGAAGAAGAAGTCGTTGACAACAGATTTCTTCTCGGCGGCGTTCTCAAAGTTATCAATGTTGCTACCAGTGCAAGACTTGTCGGCCAACGTCTTCCAGTTGAAGCTGCTAGTGTCTTGCTTGACATGATCAAACTTGTAGTCGTCAAAGTTGAAAGATGCGTGGTTCGCTGATTGGCTGAGGTCCTCGCTCCATGGGTTCTCAGGCACGGCCTTGGCATCCATATTGACCCAGATAAAGCCCTTGGCATCAACGTGAGTGTGAAGAGGGAAGAGACCGTTCTTGGAGCGATCAAAGCCGGGGAGATCCTGATACAAAGGAGCCTTGGCAAGCTGACCGTTCATACCGTAAGACCAGCCGTGATACTTGCAGGACAAGACGTTGTTCTGGCCATTATCCTTAACAACGACGGGAAAAGCACGGTGACGGCAGATGTTGTGAAAGCCCCTGATGGTACCTTCTGCATTTCGGATGAGGAAGAAATCGAAACCAGCTTCAGCGTATCGAACCCAGGCTCCAGTCTGGTCGAAGCGCATCTTGTGAGTGAGCAGGATCCATTTCTTTGAGAAGATGGCTCTTCGCTCAAGTTCGTAGATATCGTCTGACTTGTACCATGTTGAGGGGAGGGGTTGAGTGAGGGGTGCAGCGGCGGGGATGGCCCTTGAGATAAGGTTTTCCTTTTGTGGTTTAGATAGTGTCCTCACGACGAGGGCGATGGCAGCCGCTATGGCGAAGAAGATGAGTGTACCGAGAGTCAACATGTTGTTGCTGGAGGTCAGAGTACCTTGGAGTGATGGATGTTTACCGATCTACTGCTGAGGGGGACATGTCAATCTATATATTTACTACGCGTGTCATTGATCTAGACCCGGCCTACATTCTGTTCCCATGGTCAACGCCACTTTGGGCCCAAACAATGATAGAATGATTGCAAGATAAACGGTCATCCCGCTAGGCACCCGGTCATGTGATCGGTGATAAGGACATTTCCTCTAGTCCCAGCGACAAATGCCAATGACGGGATTGGGCGCAGATCAAATGGACCATGGAGTTTCTTCCGCGCTTGAACGGTTCCACGCCGTCAAACCCGGGTCAGGTTCCCCTCTTGTATCAAAGCAAGGTCGTAGTGACGCATCAGCTGGCTAAAGCCATCCGCGGTACTTGTATTACAATTTCCTATCGTGTTCTAGGTTATCGCACCCCGCATCTTTCGACCTCCGCATTTCGCTCAGAGATACCGGACTTTTGTGTCCGTGCCCCGATGTTTTGGTCCTTGTTCGGCATCGGTAAATCGCAGCCGGTTGCGGGGAGTGCTCTGCTATCTATCTCTGAGCTCAACGTGCGCGTGGCACGGCATTTCAATTGCTTCTAGATAACGGAACGTGGTGTTTTTGGTGTTCTGGACCTTTTCTAGAATTTTAATGTTACATAAATATGCGTCGCTTCCCGGAGTATCACCCGCCGCTATGCCAATAAACGGTAGCTTGCCGGCGACTGACAGCTCAGAGGGCACCAGGTGACTTTCATGACGGCCCAATTGCTTGACACCGCCGTTGCATCTTTCCAAACACGGGTTCGTCTGTATGGGGAATATGTTTTTGATGTTGAGGGATAAAAAAAAACGAGCATCTGCCGTTTGTCTGCTTCTATTAACATGGACTACTGATATAGTCACCTTGTCGCGCGATAAGATCCCGAGATCGGCCAGTCCATTCTCCGCAATGGTATAAATACCCAAAATGCGCCCCAATAAGCTTTCAGCTACAGAGCTCGTAAATCCCATCTTGTTACACATCGGTCATGTCTTAATTACCCTACGAGGTGATTGGTAAAGTCACAGAGTGTCGTTATTTATCAAGTCCGACCATCACCAAAGGGAGATTGCTTATAACTATATACCAGTGAACACTAATTGATCTTACAGAAACTGAAGATTTGTCCATATCGTGAAAATCTAGGTAATTGACAAATTTCGTAACGGGACATAATTGAACGTGGTTAGAGATGCTGTAATTAAGATATTACCATGTTAGCCAATAACAGTGTATAATGGTTCAAGCCATACGAAATGAGGCCAGTATGATGTTTATTGCCCTTTTTGTTGTCATGATTTGATGTTAATGACATCAAATGTCGTCAGAGTTTCATGTCACAATTAC